CTGCGCCTCGGGCTCGGCTAACCTAACTGCGGCGAAGCGCTTGCATGTGCTTGGGAATGCGTCCAACCTCGTTGAGCGTCAAACTTTCTCCGGCGCAGCAATTCTCGAGACGAGAGTGGGTGGCGAGACTCAAAGGTCGTGCAATTCAAAATCACGTTGAAAGCTGCTGATCCGTCTCAGCAAAGCATAGTTAGAAGAGCAGGAAAGAAAATATTCAAATCTGCAGAGCACTGCTTCGATTCCAAAACCACACAATCTACCTACTCAGAACTCAATCATCACGGCACTGGCGTCGTCCACGGAAACACTCAACCTACAATCCTCGAAATCAAGCTTTTCTGAATCATCCTTGACCTTCTTCTCCTTTCCACCACTGTCAAACGTCCATTCGAGTCCTTTCCAGGTGAGATCCGTCTCCGCGAGCGCTCCGTGCGGCGAATTGAGATGGGAAAGAGTCGCTTTGCCTCGTTTGATTGGCAAGTCCTGCAAGTCGAAATCCGCTTGCCCGCGCTCCCCATCCCCTTCTTTCCAGAGGTTCACATTGATAAGGGCGATTCTGGCGAGCTTGCCTTTCGTGTACGCAGCGTAAGCGGCCAAATGGGGGCAGTCTTGCAGAATCGACACGACTGTGGTTTTGCCCCCTTTGCCGATGAAATCTGCGACGAAAGGTTGGGCGTAGTAATTTGGACGTACCATAGGTTTCGGGACTCCCCAATGCTCGGAAGCCGTGGGCTCCCACATGCAGAACCCGGGTTTGTAGATTTGTTGGAAATTGACTCTGTCTACGCCGATGGTCATGGCGTGGAGCTGGAAATCGATGGCCCAGATGGCGGTTGCGAGACTGTTGCGATAGGCCAGTACACCGTTTCCTCCACCGAGGTTGTCGGCCACTTCGCTCAAGACATATCCGATATGCTTCTGATTGGCTTTGAGGTACTTGATGTTATCCTCATGAACACTGAGGCGCTCGGTGGTGTTTGTATGAAGAATCCACTGCTTCAGCTCGTCGTAGCTCTCGGGAGCCATGCCTTGGTAGTAATGGTACGCCACTTGTTTGATGTGTTTCTCGTCCTGTTGAAGCCCCTGATCGAAGGCATCCTCCGTTGCGAGTGGCTTCTCCCTGGATGCAATGTCCAGCGCTTGGAAGATTCGCTTCTTGTGCAAATTTGGATGTTGCTTCAACATAGCATCCAGAAACTTCTGCCAATTGGCTAAATAGTCCTTCAGAACGAATGGGTTGTAAAAATCCGGCTCGTTTCCAATTTCCAGAGCATACAATGCTTTCTTACCGATAGCCTTCAGTCCAGCTGCGGTCCACTCGAGGGTGTTGGCAAGGTTTTGCCGTTCAAAAGGCACCATGAACTCGAACTTCGCACCAGGAAAATTCTTGAATGCATCGAAGTAGGATGGGCCGACGCTGAGCTGTTGATCTTGAGACATCATGGGCCCGCAGACCGTCGAACTACATGATACGGCGTCCTCTTGGTCCTTGTTGTAGATCGCATGGTCCCCGGAAGTACCGCCTACACGGAGAAGAGGCGTCCCGCCAGTGCGGTGCAAGACGGATTTGATGAGGTTCTGAGAGAAGGTGTTGGGCTTGCCACGTTCGAAGGCGTAGTCGTAGAAAGAAGCCTGTTCGAAGGCGAATCCTGGGAAGGATGAATCGATGGGCCCTCTGGCATCTTTTAAATCGGCTGGTAGTTTGATGACTGTGAGTTCTGAGGTGACGAGTGTAGTCCAGCTCCAGAGCAAGAATGCGGTTTGCCGGTAACGGTAGCGCATGATGGAAGCGACGGCGATGCTCAATGACGGTGTTGTTGAGAAGAGAAGCCGATGCGTCCTTTATAGTACACCAGAATGCGGCTGATAACGTGTGTCCATCCTTCTCGACCGCCGAATCCTCTGTGGCACAGGAAGCGCTTGCGGCTGGAATTGTGCTAAAGATGGAATGTTGGCGGCGGCAATTTTGGAAAAGTCGCTCCTCGGGCCATGATTTACATCAGTCTATGCAGATGGAAATGCAAAACACTGGCAAGGTTGGTGGCAGTAGGTTTGCAATTCCGCCTCTTCTCGCTGTATTCGATATGTGAAGAACACGCAGAGGTCTTGAATGCCAACTGCCATGAATAGGAGCTCCTGAATGTTTACGTAGTTGTGTTGATCTGCTCGAAGCTTTCCATGGCGTGAAGGTTCAAGCACAGATCGCGGTCGTCGCGTGGCTGTGCCGTTCGGCCGGATATTTTCAGAGACTGAGAGAATTCCATTCACTCGGCAGTTGCGAATGTATCGATTCCTCGCATGGTCGAATTCTCGTAACAGAGCCATTTGCGCTTTCGCTTGCGCCATTTCAAGACGCTGACGACGAGACGCTTCAACTGCACCGGCCAGCCCGTAACTTCGATCAGAATGTAGACTGCGGCTTCGCGCTCCTCCTCTTCGACGTTACAAGCGGTCGCGACGATGCTCTTCTGGTATGCTGGATTGGAGCCGACCCATATCCGCAGCACTCTCACGTATTCTTCCCAGGAACCGATGAATGCCGTATCGAATCGGGCGCAAAAGTGAGGGTGGATGTGCCGCTCGGTCATCTCAGCCAGTGTCTCGTCCGATCCGCTCTGGATGACATCTTCGAAGGATCGCGAGATGCGGATGAGCTCGTTGGCGGTCCGGGAGGTCGGAGCATCCGGTTGCGACGTAGGGCTGGGCGTGTCCTCTGGGCTGCTGAAGTGCGGAAGCAGCAGCGCCAGTGATGAGGTCGCGTCTCGAACGCTGCTTGCGCCGTCTGTCATTGCTGTTTTGCGGATTCGGAGATCTGATGGCCATGGCGAGGTAGATTGAGAGGATGTACGAGAGAAGGTAGGTGAGAGTAAGGTGCTATTGAACAGGGAAGTGTGAGACGGATGCCTCGTACAGTGATGCAGGGAAGATGCAGCATCTGTTGACTTCCTGAAACGTGCGGCTTGACGGTGAGGGCGAATGAGATACTGCAGTGAAAAGAGAATGTCGGTGGAGTAAGGTATAGCACAGTAGTAGGCCTTGTAAGTTGTGATGCTGCCGATTATTCACCACCGCATGGCAGCTCATGGTTCTGCTAATAGTTCTACCGTAGCCTAGCCTAGCCTAGCCTGGCCTCGGGCAACCTCGCCGAAGCTCTGACCGAGAATCCGACATCAAAGCGCTGCAGCACAAGCGTCAATCCTTCTAAGCAACTAGAAGAATAGAGCATGTCTACCGCGCTTTAGCCAGCCGTAAGAGTCTCTTTCGCGCTACTATAAGCACGAGTAGCTACCCTATTACTAGCCTTTTTGCGTTAAGTGTATATCTATAGCGTAACACTTAATTCGAGCTTAGTTAGTAGTACTTAGCGGTAGAAAGACGCGTCTTCTAGTCGCGTGTAGTGTAGCTCGTGTTATAGCTCGTATAACTACTCCTTTACTAGTCGCTATAGACGTACTAGATATAGCTTAAATTATACTAATACTTAAATAGCGTAACCTTATAGTCTAAGAGGCCTAGTAGTAGGTTAGATATATACTAGAGTAAGAGTCGTATACCTACCCTTACTTCTAATAGGGCCTAGAAGGTATAGATCTAATTAACTACTATAAAGAGATACGCTTCTATCTAGTATAGCTAGAACGATTAGTACCGCTATTACTAGGTAAGGAGCTAATCCGGATTAAGTCGTTAATAGGCTACTATTACGTCGCGATACTACTATAGGCTCTATTCTTAGTCTATAAACGATTAGCCTATCTAGCTCGTTACTACGACTTTCGTATCGGACGTAGCTATAACTAGATATCTAGTATCTTTAATAGTACGTATAAAAGGCTATACTAAGACTAGAGCTACCTTATTTACTAGTAGCTAGCGCTAAGCAATCGAGCTACCTTAGCGAGATACGCCTTTAAGTCGTAATAAGCTAGCTATAGATAAGGGCGTATATAGAGTTTTATTAATAGTACGTTCCTTAAGTTTATAAGGCTAGTAGATAATAGATTATAGATAGCTACTTACTCTAGCTATTACGGAGTAAACGGCTAGAAAATCTAGTATATTACCGTACTTAATAGGCTAGTAGTATCTTCGTCTATACCGGATCTAGGGCTAGTAAACGATAGTACTATATATAACGAATCCGGTATAGTAGAGCGTATATAGGATATAGAGGAAGCTAATCTAGACTAACCGGTATTCTTCTTATTTAGCGATAGTACCTATTAATCGAAGTTTAGTATAATTAATCCGTTCCGCTACTACGTAGGCCGGTAGTTCCTTACTAACGAGATATAGCGTACGAATTACTAGCTCTCGAAGACGCGAATCGGTATCGAGATAGCGTTTAGTAATAACTTTAACTAGTTTACGTACGTCTACTTTAGTAAGGTAGTAAGGGCGACAGTATAGCTAGTTAGTACCTACTTCTTAGTATTAATATTACTTTAGAACTATCTAACGTATATACGTAGTAAGGAGAGTAAATAGGGGACTATAAACGGTATGTTTAGTTACCTACTACCGACTCTAGACGATTACCTAGCTAGCGTAGCCTACGTCGACTAACGTTATAGCGACCTTCTAGATCGATTAGTAGGCCTTCTTAGTAATAAGAAGAAGCTCTAGTACGAGTTTAGTAATAGTATCGATAGTATAGTACTATTTATAGATACTAGAGAGTTAGTAGTATTATAAAGCCGTACGTAGCTTTACGAAGCGCTATAGTCGTAATAGTAATTACGTTATCTTTTTTAAGGCCTATTAGTTAGATAAGAGATAGTAGTAGGCGTTCTAAGAGCTCTAAAGAGTTATAGGTACTATTAGACAGAACTTCCCGGCTATTTTTAGTAAGCTATACTATAAATTTATATAAAGGTATTATTACCTCGAAGTACTACCTATATAAAGGATTACTATATAGATATAGGGATGTTAGTATAATGTCTAGGAATATAGTAGTATAGGTATAGTAATATATACTAGAATAATTCTAAAGAGACTAGGAGTAGGTCGTACGACCTATTAATATCCGGGGATATATACTAAGTATTATATAACTACTAGAGTAAGCTCTAGACCGACTTGTAACCGACTCGTAAGGGGTTTATAAGGCCTCCGTAGGGCCTTCCTATACGTAACGTTATTATATAATATCTTAGTACCGGATCGTAAGAGGTTCGTAAGGCCTCTATAGAGCCTTCGTAAGGCCTTATATTATATAATCTCGCTATATAACGCGACCGGATCGCCTACGACCTACTTACGTATTATAGATACTCCTCTCCTATATCGACGTCTACGTCGAATATACTTAATTATCTCTTACGCTAATCGTAAGCGTATAAGCCTAGTCTTTCGGACTTAGTACGTTATTAGCGATTAGCTAGCGGGGATCCTAGGCTTAGTGCTTACGTACGTCTTTATATATAACGCGCTAGCTTAGTAATTCGTAGGCGGATCGCTATACTATCGTACTATAATTCTTCTGCCTCTAGTAAACTCGAGTCGCTTTAGGGTCGTTCTAGAAGCGATTCGCTACCGAACCGTTAGTCTCTAGGTATAGATATTCTCGCTAGAGAGGAATCGTAGTCGGTTCGTAGGTACTTCGTAAGGCCTCCGTAGAGTCTTCGTATCTATATATTTTAAACCTTAGGCTACGATTCTCCTATATAGTAATTAGTTGCCGCTCTAGAGTCTTCTAGAGAGTTCTACCGATTCTATAGGACTCTATTTAGTAAATCCGCTAGTAAATCGTATATAGGTAGTTACTAGAGTAACGCTATATAGTAGAGCTATAGAGATTTAAGAAGCTTCGGTCTTATAACTTGTCTTAAATCTCTATATACTTTACTACCTACGTACCCTTATATCTATATACTACGTATTATACTACTCTTTAGCTCTTCGCCTACTTCTACCTATTACTCGCAGTTAACTACTTCTTCTCGTATTAGGTAGGTTCGGCGCTAGTTCGTAAGCTATTCGTAGGCTAACCTACTTATAGCTTCTTATATACATTTCCGTACCGAACTACTAACGAGTCTTTAATATAGCTAGCGCTTACCTATACCTTCCCTTATTTATCCGTAAGACTAATCTATTAGAAGATTAGTACTTCGTTTAGGAAGATACCGACCTCGATTATAATACGCTACGAGTCTACTACTACTATAGAGTCTATAGTAAGAGTATCGCTAATAGGCGTCGGTATAGTAGACTAGGCTACCGAGCCTACGGGTACTACGTACGTATTTATAAGGCTAGATACGAGTTTGTAAGTATCGCCCGCGGTTCGTAAGCGATTTAGGGGCTAACTCTCTACTAGGTCGATATCGATATCTAGGGCCGTATAAACCGCCTACGCGAGCTACGTATTAACTACGAGGATACTCTTTAGGGGCTTCGCGACTACCTAGATATCGAGGAACTTACGCGTAAAGACGTACTCTACGATACCGAAACGTTTAAGGTAGGGCTCTAGCTAGCTTACGCCTAGCGCTCCCTTAACTACTATCTCGCCTATTAAGAGATACATTATCGACGTACCGGCTAAATAGTAGGGCTCCGCCTTAACTATCCTTCTTCTTTAGTAGATATAGTAGCGTTAATACTATAGGAGGAGATACTAGCTAATAGTACCTACGCCTCGTAGACGATTAGTAACCGGGTCGTAGGCTCTAACTTCGTAAGGCCCTACCCTACGATTCGGCTACGAGTCTTTTACTAATATAACTATAGGAGAACGCGACTATACGCTCGGGTACGCTTTATCTACGTACTTACAGCCGCTCCGCTAGCCTCTCGCGCGCTACTAGCTCTTATATACTAATTCGCGACCGAAACTTATCTACCTATAAGAGCTCTAGTTCGCGTAGTCGGTTCGCTAGCCTAGAGGATAGGGAAACCCTCTCTAGAGCCTATACTACTACTTCTCGCTCTATCCTACGATCCGGTTCTCGCTATAGTAACTCTTACGCTCGGCCTACTAATCGCTAGGCAATCGTCGCTAGTTCGCTAGTTATTTCCTTCCGTAACGAGTCTTACTATCGTAATCCTACTACGACCGACCGCGTAGCGCTATATATTAACCTTACTACCCTAGCTAAGAAGGATAAAGAGGAAGAGGACGATAAAGAGTTCGGTAGTTACGAGTCGGATTACGATCCGGAGAAGGATAATTAGTACTATAACTACGTAGAGACCGAGGACTGCCTTACGACTCGTAGCTGTCCCGGTAGCCCTAACTCTATCGCCTGTCGCCTCTTCCGCTACGGTAGCGGTTCGCCTATAGGTAGTACGCTAGCTTCTAATACTCCTAGTACTAGAGCTTCCTTCTCCTATTATACCCGGCTAGAAGACTCTCTAAATATAGCGTATAGCGACCGCTATAAGCGGTAGTACTCGCCCCTTCTAGTCTACCTACGATCCGGCTCTACCGTAGTAGCGTAGCGACAAGTAGGCCTTTATATCTAGCGGACTAGGGGTCGATACTATCGCTAGGTCCGTCCGCCCTAACCTTAAGCTAGCCTCTATAGATCGTATAGGCCTCGCCGAGCTCCGCTACGAGATAGAGTACCTACGAGCCTATAACGCCGCCGGTACCCTCTCGCCTATAATAGCTTCGCTATCCGCTAGTAAGGCAGTCGACCGTAACTTCTTACGCTCTACTAATAACGTTTAGCTCTAGTAATTAGAGTCTCCTTCCTATTATTAGGCCTTCGGTAGGGGTCCGTAAGGTATCTACGCTTCTAACGCGTAGGTAGATCGTTACCTTACTCCTTCTTCTATA